CTGCTCTTCAATTGTAACTGTTAGGTGCCATCAAATCAGTTCCATATCGGAGCAAAAAGCATTATTTTTCTTAAGAAGTGTCTGGGAATGGGTTTGTACTGCTGATCTGTGGCTAGCAGTTCAGTGATTATCATATCTACCACCAGCTTTCCTCATAAAAGACTTACTGTTAAGTTCCTTTGAGTCAATTCCGACTCATAGGGACCCTGTACAGGTTTCAGAGAACAGCTGGTGGGTGTGAAATGCTGACCTTGTGGTTTGAAGTCCAGTGCTTACCCTACAGTGCCAGAGGCTTAGAGGTCTAGAAAAACAATAGTTTCTCAGAGTTAATTATATAAACATTAAATAACAAAAGAGATTGCTGGTCAAATTTGATGGCTGTTGGCAAATCTCAAAGTCAGGGCTTTCTTAGATCCTTCTTAGATCCCTAAATGTATTCTGTTTAATTAAAACAATTCAGATGTTTGGGGAATGCATTTTCGAGCAGAAAAATATTAGTGACGCTGTAATGAGTATATCTAGGAAACAGATTCTTAAGAGTACAGAGGATTCCAACTGTGACCTCTAACATTACCTGTGTTTTCCTCTCATACTTGATCAATTAATCCATCCCCTCTGAGTAACTTGCCTGAAAATTACAAGATCTAACAGGGTTATAATTTGATCATTCATTTCTTAATCCCAGGACAACCTGTATAAAATTCAGTTAGGCATGTTGTTAAGTGAATTAGATCAGTTCTAACTCACAGCAATCCTGTAAATGTTTTCAGAGAAATAGTTGGTGAGTTTGAACCATTGATTTTGTGTTAGCCAGAGCAGTGCCTATCCTATAGTACCATACCAGGACTCCCAGTTAGTTATGGCAGTTTTAATAAAGCAACATTTCCATCCTTGACTTTTACTTCTTGCAGTGTTTTCTTTTTAACTGCCCATATTTGCCACATTTTGAGCTTTTGATATAGCATTTAAACAAATCTTGCCATTCCATAAAATTAACTACTTCATATATTCCTCTTCTTTTTTGTTGTTGTTATTAAGGGCTACCAAGACAATTTTGACACCTAGTCAGTTTTGACATGTACAACAGAACCAAACTCTGTTCAGTCCTGGGCTAGCCTCAAAAATCATAGCTATATTTGAGCCCATTGTGTTGGTGGTGGTTATGTGCCGTGGAGTCGATTCCAACCCATAGTGACCCTGTACAGGGTTTCCAAGGCTATAAATCTTTACGGGAGCAGAAAGCCTCATCTTTCTCCCATGGAACAGAGGGTAGTTTTGAACTACTGACCTTGTGGTTCGCAGCCCGATTCTTAACCACTATGCTACCAGAGCTCCTTTCAGCCCATTGTAATCACCACTTTATTATTTCATCTCATTCAGGGCCCTCCTCTTTTTCACCATGTTCTGCTTTCCAAGAATTATGTCCTTCTCTAGGAACTGAGCCCCCTGGTAACATGTCCAAGAATTATGTCCTTCTCTAGGAACTGAACCCCCTGGTAAAGTACATGAGGAGGAGTCTCGCAACTCTCACTTCTAAGAAGCATTCTGGCTGTTAATTCCTCCAAGACATTTGTTCTTTCTTCTGGCTGTCCATGGTATATTTAATATTTTTTATCAACACTATAATTCAAATACACTGATTCTTCTTTAGTCCTTTTATTAATTGTCTAACTTTCACATATATAAGAGGTAATTAAAAATATCATGACTTGGGTCAGGCACACATTAGTACTCAAGGTGATAATTTTTGCTTTTTAACTCATTGAAAGGTCTTTTGCGGAACATCTGCCCAATTGACTATATCTTCTTTCTTTTCTTTTCTCTTTCTTTCTTTCTTTCT